ACAGGAACAAGAGCCTGGGAAGTGCCAGGGACAACTGCTATGACATGTGAAAGAATCAGAAGCAGGCACTGGAGTAAGGAAACCCTGAGCTAATGTGATCAAGGAATAAGATATCCCATTTGTTGACTTCATTCTGCCATTCTGCTCCACGCCAACAGCCCACACTGACCATTTGAGACCAGAATCTCAAACATTCAAAAAGTACAGCAACAGTCAGCCCTACTTCTGAAGCCTCAACAGAACCTGTATATTATCCAATTCATTGCCATATAACTTTTAAAATAATTAACAGGTCACTAGAACTGTTAGTCAATACTCTGCTGCTTGTAGGCATTTACTCAGACTTGCAGAATGAGCCTGAAAATCCACCAGCTAGGGGGTAAAAAGGCTACTTGTCCACATTGGCTGCAATGCTGAAGGGGCTGCACTGTCAAAAATTGACAAGCTCAAGTGAATTTGTTGAATAAAATGCTGCAACACATTTTACTACTCCTAGCACTGCCCTATAAAGAAACATGACAAGTCTCCTTTGGGCACAGTAGGGCTCCAGAGACAGATTAACTCATAGGAGGTCACAACAAGCAAGGAAATCTTCTGGTATTCTAAAGAAAAAGAAAATCATTATGGTAAATATCAAAGTTCTTCTGCCAGACACAGGTAAAGCATCTGATCTAGTTAATAATTTAGTTAATACTTAACTAGTTTGTATCTTACTCGTGGTCTACTTTACATTTCACAGAGAACCGATTTTCATGTTCTCAGATTTTAGTGAGAAAAAAAAGCCTGTTTCATGTGTTGACTTTGTCCCTTTAAGTTTCTAACTATCATTTTAGAGACCAAAAAACTATGTTAAAAAACCTGGAAAAAATAAAACTGCACTCTGGAAAAACAATATTAGTGCCTAGATAATATATAAAGGCAATTACATTATTATTTTAGGCAACTGTGAATTTCCATATCTAATATGTTTTGGTTACAAACTTACTACACAGCATTTATAAAATAATAATGATACTGAAATATACATGAATCATGTAAACTGTGTCATTCCAGGGAGCCAATAAAGTTGGTCACTGACAAATTAAATATTCTTCACTGCTGTGCTTAAAAGAGAATGGTCATTCTAGGCAAAACTTTTACATGTAAGTCTTCTGCCTTATTTGGTAGTTTAAAGAATTGGTTTAAATAAGGGCTCATTCTTCTCTAGCATATCCTTCTCTCCCTGTGAGCCTGAATGAACACTAGCAGAATTAGCTACCTAATTTTGTAGAACACTAAACAATTCTGATGGTTTGTGGTGCTCAGCATGGCACAGGATGATGCTGCTTTACCTTATCAGAGAGTCAGAAACAATCAGCATGTTTTGCTTATGAATAACGTGGACAGGAGCAAATGCCACAGCAGAGAAATTACTTCTGAGTTTACATGTTTTCTATATTTAACGAGAATATTAAAAAGTCTCATCAGTCATTCTCTATTACTCACAACTATGGGCAAACAATCAAAAACCAGGCAGCCACCAGCTCCCCACCTACCCCGAATGTCACACAGCCTCCCCATCTGCAGATTCTGCTGGAGAGCAAGATCAGGAATGTGTTCACGGATGCACTGGGAATATCCTGGAAAACAAGGAAAGCTCCTCATGAACTGCATTCAGAAAACCCGGGTTTGAAAGAAATCAGATTTTAGATTTTTAAAAAAAGCTGTAATAAAAGCATTTCAAACCCCAAACATTGTATAGCACCGACTGCATCATCTTTATGAACATACTTTTCTTAGTGAACTGATGTTAACATCCTGGATTTTAAGAGATTTTAAATACAGAGCTAAATGTTACAGACATTTAGAGCTTTACAATTTAAACATGCACACTGAGTGTTTTGTTGGAGTCTTCTGTGTTGCTGGGTGATTCTTTTTCAACACCGAAAAAAAAATGACACCTCATTAAGCAAGAATCCTGGTACATTTGGTCCTTCACAGAGATAAAAGGCAACAAAAGCACTTCATTAGGGAGATGTCTCAGTGATACCTGATCACTTTGTTGCCGAGGATGAATGAGTGGCAGCCTGTCTGAGCCTGGATTATTTATTTGGGGGTCAGACTTCCAACTGATTGCACACTTGCATTCAAAAACACTGCAGTAAATGACACGACCACTGTTAAGTACAGTCTCTAATCCTGTAATTTTAAAATTCAGCTAATTCTCAATGCATCAGTGTGTTTATACAATCACACACAGACACACCATGGGAGCTGCTGGTTGCAGTGGCTGTGAGGAAATCAATACAGAAGTTAAGCCTCACAGTCAGTGATTGGCATGAAGTCTTGACTGATCCAGTAACAAGATCCTTACAAGATTTCCCTGTATCTGCATGTGACCAATTGCCTGAAACTTATGAAAAACTTAGTTTGATGAAAACCTGCTCAATATTTCCATACTTTCATTTTAGAAGATAGTAGTAGTAGAACTTCCAGGAAAATTAGAGTCAATTATTTTAAGTAACCAGCACCCAGGGGTGCTGTGGCAATGACACTTTGCACACAGGAGAACATAACATAATAAAAGGTTGGTTTCATTTTTAGCAAATTCTTGTAAACTTACATACTGTAGTTAGCACAACAGTACCAGGCACCTGCAGAACTACAGCAATGTGAGAGGCATTGATGTTTTTTGCCACTCTAATATTAAACTACAGTAATTTGAAATAGCTTGCTCTGATTACTTAAACATTAGTCTTGAGGCTTCATTTTTTTCTCCCTCTGGTGGGGACCAGTTTTAAGCCACTAACAATGCTGCCTAAAAACTTCAAAACATTTAAATTACAGACGTAGAAAGTAGCTGAGTTCCCTACACTAAGCTGCCCTCTTGAAAACACAAGAACTAATCTGGGCATAAAAATAACATGCAAATACCACTTGGAAGAATCAGTAATTGTTTGAAAGGAGTTAAAGTAGCAATCACAGAAAACTTGCATGTTGCTCTGGTTCTGCTGATACTATAGCATTACACAAGCCGCCACATGAACTACTCTAGAGATGTTAATAAAACATTAACTAAATATATTAGCTTCCCTTGACATGACCCCATTAGATTTAACAGGAGGAATATTCACTCCTTGTGAATCCCTCACCTTCCAATGGACATGATGAACCACATAAAAACCCCACACCTGATACATCCTGAACACAGCACTTCCTTGGCTGGTCACCTCACAATACTCCTTCCAGGCAGAGGTTCAGTATTCTTTTCCTTGGAGCTCAAACAAAATTCAACCCAAATGAATTACATCTCCTGTGATCACAGCCTACATGTTCCAGTAAAACTACAACCCGTGCCATCACTCTATGTTGTTATGTACAGCTGGTTGATGTAGCACTAACATTTTCCATGACAGCATTTGGTCTCAAATGCATGAAACATTTAGAGAAATTTGCATTTGCCAGAAGCCAAAGCTCCTATTTTGATTCAAAGAACCACTATTTTAGTTGTGTATAGTAGTATAGACCTGCAATCTGGGGAAGTTAAATTCCAAATGGTGGCAGAAGATAGTGGTGGTGACAAAAGCCAGCAGGAGCAGAGTACTGGAGGTTGTGGTGCTTCATCTGCATGAGGCACCATCAGGGCATCACCTCACCCTGCTGGTGGAGCCAGGCCACAGGAGGGCGGACCTTGTAAAGGGAGAGTTAAGATTTATGATTTCTCAGCTCAAAGGCATTGAAAGGACACTGAGGGCCTTCCTCCTTCATGGGAATCTTATGATAGTGGATGTGCAATGACTTCAGTGGAATGCTCCCCATCCACACAGGGGTAAGTGCAGGGAGAGGTACAGAAGCACTAAAACGGAGGTGTGCATGAATTAATAATGGTCAAGAGCTGCTCTCACCTGCCTTTTCAAATTCAGACATGACCTAATACCCTTTAACTGCCATTTTCTTAATAAATTTTGCTCATCTCAAATGTGTCCTCTCGCAACAAGGAATCTACAACACTTTTCAAACTTGCCTTTGCAAAAAGCAGCAACAGGACAGGGCAGGAGGACTGTGACAGTAACAATGGGGCAATGTCTGAAGAGGAAGGTGCAAAATGAGAAAAGATTCAGCCACCTTGTGCTTCCCAGTGCTTGGGACAGGTCTAATAAATAATATCCAACTTTTCTCACCACACTTAGCACACCTGCTGTTTAGCTGAAACTGCTTTTAGAAAGGTTTAATGTATCACACAAGAGGAAGCTTTGATAAATATAGATGACAAACATAAATGACAATTTTTCTGTATTGTAAATGTAACTGTTGGGGTAGAAAGATTGATCAACCATTTTAAAATAGCTGAATGAAAAGAGAAAGGCTATTTGAATCCCAAATATTGCAGAAGTCTATTAATCCATTACACTGTGGAAGTACATCTGATTAGAAAGTTCAAATTCCTTTTTTCTTACACTATCTGAAAAAAAATGCTAAACAATCTTTAAACAATAGAATCTACCTTTGTTTTTTAGCTATACTTGAAATCAAGAGGTTTTGTTTTGGTGAAATAAATGGAAACATTTGTCCCTCACAGCAGTCTAATTTAAGCCCTTCACTATCCCTTTTCCTGGATTATTTCCAAAAACTTGATACGAGTCTGAAACTGCTGTGAAAATGAAGACTGCTGAGAAATTCACAGTTCTGATTCTAATCTCCACTTGTTGGAATTCAACTCAGATGGGAAGAAAAACCAGACTCTGAATTGCCCTAAATGCTGAAGTCAAGGAATATGAGTAGAGAATTTTGGCTGCATTTTGGATTTACAAAACTGGAGAAAGCACTAGCAGTGTGTTGTCAAACCTCTGTCTCTTGGTGTTTATCTGCTCTTCCCCAGTTCTTGTAACTTAGACACACATTTATGACTATCCAGACTGAGACCTTAAAACAAAACCCTGCTGAATTCAGCTGTCACTGTGCATATTTAGTCCTCTTGGGCTGAAACAAATGTTACTTGTTTAAATTGTAGAGCTTCCTTG